ACTTGCCTCTGTGGCCCCGAGTGCGAGGACGGGGGTCTGTGTGCAGCGCTTTGGGGGGCTTGGCAGACTCTCGCGATGTGCCCCCTCTTATGGCAGTTGTTGCAAACGGCTCCTTTAAACTTGTAGGTGGCCCTTTGATGTGATCCCCCACAGGCTAGGCACAGCGTGATGTGCTTGGGTGGACCGGTGTATTCTTGTTTGGCCCCTACCTGCGACCGTCTGTCATTGGTGAGGCGATGGACATCGTTCTCATCATTGTGGGCTTCCTCCGCTTCCACCTCTTCGGAATGGACTGGGAACGATGCTAGCTTGGCACTTGGGCCCTGAATTTCGGTGGCTGAGTTCGTTGCTAGCTCGGCTGCTAGGGCCTCCTCTACCGCTTGCGCAAGGTTGAGGTCTTTTTTAGCTAGCAGTCGCCTCTGTAGGTTGAGATCCTTGACCCCACAAACTAATTGATCGAGGAGCATGTCCTCCAGGTATGTTCCAAACCCACAGTGCAGGGCTGCTGTTCTGAGGGCGGCCATATATTGATTGATGGTCTCCTTACTTGATTGCTTCCTCATACGGAACGTGAACCTCCTGGCGATTTGTGAAGGCTTGGGAGCGTAGTGGTTAGTGAGGATCTCAAGCAACTCGGACCTCGGAACGTTTTTCAATTCTCTCGGCGCTACGAGTGCTGCGGCGGTATCGTAAACGGTGGCTCCGCAGTAGATTAGGAAATAGGATTTTTTCCGATGCTCTCCCGCATCCGCCAGGCCGACCGCATCGATGTAATGATTGAAACGGTTCTTATACGATTCCCACTTCTCTTCGTCTGGTTTAAACGCTGGGAATACTGGGTTGGAACTCATGATGCTGGAACGGCTGGGCTACCTGCGGAAAAAATCTCTCTGGGACTACGAGCGCTCGTGAGTTACTAGTGATATCAGCTCTGGAGAGGTTTTTTGCTAACCTCTCTCTCTCTCTCTGGGTTACCACGTTGGCTGCTAGCCGTTGGAGGTGTCTAGATTCGCGCCCAAAAAAGTGGGCGTTAGTGACTCTCTACAGCGCTGTGCTGTGATTCCTACTGGCTCGAAATTCAAATGACACCCGTTTGAATTTCGCGCCAAATGCAGAGCGGCTGCGGCTCGCAGCGCTTCACTTTCCCCGTAGCGGGGCTAACAAGCGGCTACAGACGCTTCTAACTTTTTGACTCAGACCGCTTTCTCTGGCTGCGGATCTGCGTTTGCTCTTTTTGATCGCTCGTTTTGTTAGCTGACCGCTCTCTCTGGCTGCGGATCAGCGTTTCCCTTATCGCCAGCCGATCGCTCTCTCTGGGCTGCGGATCGGTGGCTAGTGACTCAGCGGTTGCAAGGTGCATCTGGTAGCCATCCCATCCTCGTCGCCAGTGTTATGTTTGAGCAATGAGAGGCTGAACCAGAGCATGAGTGCAACAGTACTTTATTTTACAAATAAAGGGCTGACCGTGCTTGCCAAGCCTGGAACTGGCTCGCAGCAATCAGCAACCAGTTGGACCCCGCAGCCTGCTTTTATAGCTGGCTGCTGGGGAGAACCAACCAATGGGAATGGGGGAATATCGCCCACACAAAGTGAGTGGACCAGAGTGAGAACTCCTTGAGTCCTCAGGACATAACAGTCTCTCTGTCTCTCTGTCTCTGTCTCTGTCTCTCTCTCAGTGTGTGTGTGTGTGTGTGTGTGTGTCTGTCTGTCTGTCTGTCTGTCCGTCTGTCCATCTCTGTGTCTCTCTCTCTCTCTCCCTCTCTCTCTAGTGTCTCTCTCTCTCTCTGTGTGTATCTGTCTGTCTCTGTCTCTCTGTGTGTCCCTGTGCTTCTGTCTCTGTGTGTATGTGTCTGTGTTTCTGTGTCTCTCTCTCTGTCTCTATTTCTCTCTCTGTGTGTGTGTGCATGTCTCTGTCTCTGTCTGTCTGTCTGCCTCTCTGACTCTGCCCCTCTGTGTGTGTGTGTCTGTGTGTCTGTGTGTCTGTGTGTCTCTGTGTGTATGTCTTTCTCCCTATGTCTCTCTCTGTGTGTCTCTCATGTCTCTCTGTCTTTCTCTCTGTGTCTCTGTATTTCTCTGTACTGTCTCTCTCTCTGTACTGTCTCTCTGTGTGTCTGTCTGTCTCTCTCTCTCTGTCTCTCCATCTTTGTGTGTGTGTGTGTGTGTGTCCATCCATCTGTCTTTCTCTCCCTCTCTCTCTATCTTTGTGTCTCTGTGTTTCTTTCTGTTTCTATTTCTCTATGTGTGTGTGTGCTTCTGTGTCTCTCTTTTCTCTCTGTCTCTGTCTGTCTGTCTGTCTGTCTCTGCCTCTGCCTCTTTCTCTCTCTCTGTGTGTATGTCTTTCTCTCTGTCTATGTCTCTCTCTGTCTCTCTCTGTCTCTCTCTCTCTCTCTCTGTGTGTATGTGTACCTCAACCAGAAGAAGCAACAAAGTACAGCCTAATCCACAGCAATTATACTGAAATCAGAAAAAAAAGTACAGAATGAAGAAGTGAGCAATATTTGTAGAAACTAAAAGTATCTCCACAGAATGTTAATTTAGAAATACTCATTCCTTTAACATACTATTCAATCTAACCATCTAAGCCATCTATTGCTCTGTCTTCTCCGTTTTAGTACAAGGTGTTATTTCAATACGTGTTTATAAAATGTGCTTAGATTTTTAATACTGTATCACATAAGTGCATTGGAGCATTAAAAGCAGATAAAAGAAACAAAAAGCAAGACAATCTATGGATATTAATGACCTTTTCAAAGGTTCACGTTGCAATTATGACTGTTGCAGCATCCCCATGATTATGGGATTTAATTATTTAACTTTTCTTCAGAATTAAATAGAATGAGTGAAAAGGGAAGGAAGAATATCCATCTTTGTATTTGTTTTACAGTGATAACTTTTGGTCTTGAGGGAAAGTACTTGTTATTAAAATTCTCCATTGTGTGGTTGTATGGTAAGGGCTACCTACTATAATTTGGACTTTTGCTTTCTGGTAAAGATATTATTCACTTTCGTTGAAAAGGCAGCATTGCCACCAGCTGGGAAATATCTGAACTGCACCAGATCTTGCCACCCATCAGTCCAGTCCGATAGCTCAACAAAACAGCTGAATCCAGTTCTTTTTTAAAAATAAAAATCCAAAATATCTATTTTCATTTGAAGAATATGCCTTCCAATGATGAGGCACGGAGGTGAATTGCTTTCGATCCTCAACTGAAGAATCTGATAAGGTTTTCCAGGCTCTTTCTCCAAATGTATGAAGTGGAAACATGAGGGTTTAAATATCAAAAGTCACTTGGTTATAAACAAAATTTCTAAATAATGGGTACAGGTCATCCTTGACTTATAAGAATTCATTTGGTGACCATTTGAAGTTACAAAGGCACTGAAAAAGTGACTTATAAACATTTTTCACACTTATGACCATTACAATATTCTCATGATCATGTGATTTGCATCCCGATGCTTGGAAACTGACTCCCATTTATGATTGTTGCAGGTCACATGATCCCATTTTGTGACCTTTGGATAAGCAAAGTGAATGGGGAAAACAGGAATTATGAGCCTCGGTGGTATAGTGGTTAGAGTGCGGTACTGCAGGCTACTTCTGCTGACTGCTGGTTGCCTGCAGTTTGGCAGTCTGAATCTCACCAGGCTGTAGATTGACTCAGCCTCCCATCCTTCCGAGTTGGGTAAAATGAGGACCTAGATTGTTGGGAGCAATAGGCTGACTCTGTAAATTGCTTAGAGGTGGCTGTAAAGCACTGTGAAGTAGTATATAAGTCTAAATGCTATTGCTATTTTCCTCCTTCCTTCCTTCCTTCCTTCCTTCCTTCCTTGTTCCCTTTCTCATTCTCCTTCCTGGTGGCACAGTGGTTAGAATATCATATTGCAGGCTGACTCCGCCCAATGCCAAGAATTTGATTCTCATCAGGCTCAAGTCTTCCATCCTTCCGAGGTGGGTAAAATGAGGACCCAGATTGTTGGGGGCAAGTGGCTGACTCTGTAAACTGCTTAGAGAGGCCTGTGAAGCACTATGTAGTGGTACATAAGTCTAAGGGCTATTGCTATTTTCCTTCCTTCCTTCCTTCCTTCCTTCCTTCCTTCCTTCCTTCCTTCCTTCCTTCCTTCCTTCCTTCCTTCCTTCCTCTCTTATTCTCTTTCTTAATCTCCTTTCCGATGGTGCAGTGATTAGAATGCAATATTGCAAGGTATCTCTGCCTGCAGACAGAAGTTCAATCCTGACTGACTCCAGATTGACTCAGCCTTCTATCCTTCCGAGGTGGATAAAATGAGGAGCCAGATTGTTGGGGGCAAGAGGCTGACTCTGTAAACTGTTTTGAGAGAGGTTATGCCCTATGAACTGATGTATAAGTCTAAGTGCTATTGCTATTGCTATTCACTTAACAACCTCGTTTTAATTTAACCACAGCAGTAATTCACCTAAACAAACATGGCAGGAATGGGGCCAAGCTCCCTTAACAAATTTCTCAACATAAATGTTGGGCTCAATTGTGGTCATAAGTTGAGGACTACCTGCCAACTGCAACAGCATCAGAGGTGGTATTCGGCAGGTTCTGACTAATTCTGGAGAACCAGTAGCAGAAATTTTGAGTAGTTCAGAGAACCAGCAAATCCCACCTTTGACTGGCCCCGCCCCCATCTCTTCTCTGCCTCCCATTGAGTCTAAGCTGATTGGCTGGGTCTCCTTTGGTTGCCCTGCCCAGGAGAATGGACCTGGAAAGCAGGTTAGTGGGGTGGGGAGGGAATGGGGATTTTACAGTATCCTTCCCCTACCATGCCCACCAAGATACACCCACCAAGCCATGCCATGCGCACCAAGGCACGCCCACAAAACCGGTAGTAAAAACAAATCAAATCCCACCACTGAACGGCATCCACTGGAGATGTTTCAGATGTTTAATGTTTAGGATATGATTGGAAACCTGGGCAATTCACGGATTTCATCCATTTATTGTTCTGGGGTGGGTTTTTTTTTTAATTGATTCTCACTATTTTTTTTAATGTTGAATGCCACCCAGAATCTGAAAGAAAAGAATTAACTTATCTGAATTTCAAATTCTGCTTTATCTATTACTTATTTGGAACTCTTTTTTCTGCATGCGCAAAAGGCAATGAAGAATCCCAGGAACATCACAGAACCAAGGGTTATGAGCACTATTTGGATGATGTTCAGCAACTTGATCTTGTCGGTCACTTTTGATCGGAAAAGCTCTGCATTCTCATCCCCAATTATAGCCGTCTAGAGAAAGGGGGAAAACAAATTATGTCAGCGTTCCAACTAACCAACTCCAACCCAATTAACTCTGAGACAGTCAAGTTCTCAAAGTTCCATTTTATTAGAGTTGTCATATTGACACATCTGGGAAAATCAGAATCTGAGAGATCCTTTTTTTTCTTCCCAAAAGACAAATCAAAGATCCATCCCCTGCACCCATCAGTACATCACATGGCTCAATCACATATTCATACCAACTGGAGACATCCCTCCAAACACTCCCCTCCAAGTGCAGGGAAACATGTCCTTAACTCTCTGAGAAAATAATGTTGTGTCTAATCTATAGCATAAGTGCACAATCGTACCTACCGTCCCTGTCCTATTGTCCCCATTTATTCATATCTATTTCCTGTATTCTTACTCATGTTTATACCTATACCTATTATCTTGTAAGTGATTGACAAATCAAATAAATAAACAAACAAACAAATAAATAAATAAAATAAATCTTCTACCTGTCTATGAAATCCCCCCGCCCAAATTCCCAGGTACTGAATGTGGCAGCCTCGAAGCTATCTTGCAATGCATGCATAATTTTGCATAAAATGGAGTGTCCAACTGCAACAGGAAGGAAGACCGTTGGAAGTAATGAATTAATTCTATGATGGAAAAACATCTGATAGCAGAGAATTAAAGAGAGAGAGAAAGAAAAAAACCCAACAAAACAAGGAACTGAGATCTGAACCTTAAATATGGTTTAATTAAAAGAAAGGACTATGAACACCATTAGTTCCCATGTGTTTAAGAGAGTCTCTTTTTTCAGGCCAAAAATTGCAATTCAGTCACTTTTAAAATATTTGCAGGGAGGGCTGTAAAGGTGAGGAGAAAAACTTCTACGGTCATGGGTTTTCAAGAGATATGCTCTTTCCCTGGTTAACAATAAGAGGAAAACCCTAACCAGAATGGTTATTGTATTTTAAGTATTGCAACTTCATCCCTGTAGTTAATAATGTAACAAGAAGGCAAGAAGCCCTAGTAAGACTACACCTAGAGTACTGCATCCAGTTTTGGTCACCACACTATAAAAAAGATGTTGAGACTGTAGAAAAAGTACAGAGAAGAGCAACCAAGATAATTAGGAGATGGTTGGAGGCTAAAACATATGAAGAACAGTTGCAAGAACTGGGACTGGCTAGTCTAGTGAAGAGAAGGGCCAGGGGAGACAGGAGAGCATTGCTCCTATATTTGAGGGGCTGCCCCAGAGAGGATGAGGAGGTCAAGCTATTTTCCAAAGCACCCAAAGGCCAGACAAGGAATAATGGATAGAAACTGATCAAGGAGAGATTCAACCTGGAAATAAGGAGTAATTTTCTGACAGTGAGAAAAACCAACCAATGGAACAGAAATTGCCTTCGGAGGTTGTGGGAGCTTCATCCCCGGAAGCTTTCAAGGAGAGATTGGACTGCCATTTGTCAGTAGGGTCTCTTGCCTGGGCAGGGGGTTGGACTAGATCACCTATAAGGTCCCTTCCAACTCTGTTAATCTGTATCTGTCTGTATCTGTAAGACAGCCAAGCAACCTGTCTTGATGGCCAAGGTGACTTTGTGTCATCCAGAAAGAAAAGAACCATCCAGAATTTAATCTGTGTTACAGAGGGGAGACAGGAGATAGATTTCTGGATTAAACCAACCTATAATAAATCCTTTCTGCAGTTCCAAGAAGATTCCACAACCATTTGCACTCTGATTCAGGTGATGCTGGAGGGCACAGATAAACCCCCAAGTGGACTGAAGGGCTCTCAGAGAGAGTGCTGATGACCAGATGACTGTAATGGAACGTAAACCCTTCCATACCCCTCCCCACCATTCTGCCAGAACTAAAACCTTCTATATCCCTCTTCCATCCAGTCAAAACTGATGAAGCTTCTTGGATGAGAAGCGAAATGTGTTCTTCTTTCTCAAGAAGAAAGAAAGCTGCCTTTTGAAAAGGCACTTTTGAGACATTCAGAATTTCCTTGCTTCCTTCCACAGTATAACTGTGTTGAGAAGTTTACAGGAGGTGAAGAAGTGAAACTGGGAAAGGAGAGAACGAGTGACTTGGTTCCTTCTGGTTTCATTTCAGAGGAAACCTAGAACAGGTAAGGACAGGACCTATGGATCTTCTCCCAGATCAGAGAATTGAGGCAAGCTTTTAATCCCTCCGTGATGAGTAGATGATCATATAGAAGCAGACTTTTCTGTGCGAATCCCCCGCCCACTCTTTTTAAAGTTGATTCCATCAGGGGTGATTCTACATGGGTCAAAGATTGGTCAAACCAGGGATGGCCTGCTACTGGTTCACCCCAATTCAGGCGAACTGATAGCTAATTTTATGGCCAGTTCGGTGAACCGGTAAATCCCACCCCTGGATGGCCCCACCCATCTCACCCCACTGCTCCCAGGGGTTCCCACATGGCCCATTTTGGATGCCAGGTAAGTGCAGGGCCTGTGTGGAGGCTTGGGGAGGGCAAAAAACACGCCCCCGGGAGGCTCCAAAAGACCAGAAATGGGCCCATTTCCAGCCTCCATAGAGCCTCCGGAGCCCGGGAAGGCCATTTTTACTCTCCCGGAGGCTCGATGAAAGCCTCTGGAGCCCGGGGTGGATGAAAACACCCCCCTGCCATGGTGCAGGAGACTGACTAGGCCACACTCACCATGGCCACATCCACCAAGCAACCGGGCAGAGAACCCTTTGCTAAAAATTTTGAAGCCCACCACTGGGTCAAACGAAAAGAAAGGATGGCAACAATTGAGAAAGAAACCTACTAACCTCATTCATCCACAAAACAGGAAATAAATATTCTTGCTTGAGGTTTTTTAGTGCTCTGCAGGAAACAAAAATAAGAAAACAGCATTAGAAGATTAGTTTAGGCCTGCTGTCTTCTGAGAATGCCCCCCCTCCCCTCCCAAAAAAATGGCTACAGCCAATTGGTATTTTTCTTGGAGCCCAATCAAAATTGCCTTGTGGAGAAAAGTCTGTCTTACTTGGTTCTTCCTCCAACTGTAACCAGATTGGAAATGTCCACATTCATTTAGATGTAGATAGAGGGATGTCAATGGCTAAGATGCTGATTTTGTCAGTCAGAAAGGTCAAAAGCTCGGCGGTTTGAATCCCTAGAGCCTCATAATGGAGTGAGCTCCCATTCCTTGTCCCAGCTTCTGCCAACCTAGCAGTTTCTAAAGCATGTAAAAATGCAAGTAGAAAAATAGGGAGCACTTTGGTGGGAAGGGAACAGCAGCATTCCATGCACCCTCAGCATTTAGTCATGCCAGCCACATGACCACAGAGACGTCTTCAGACAGTGCTGGCTCTTTGGCTTTGTAACGGAGATGAGCACTGCTGCCTAGAGCTGGAAACGGCTAGCATATATGTGCGAGGGGAACCTTTACCTTTACCTTTTATACTGTAGATGGAATATCTCAGACAATGGTTGATATCTTATTTTTTTCCCCATTGATTTTAAAGCCTACAAGCAACAGTTGTCCATCTGTCCTATCAGAATTCTTTTAGAAGAGGCTTTCAGGAGACTTGAAGGCCATAGTTGACCTATACAACCTGTATATATAAAGGGGGCAGAGCTTCAGTGAGGAAATCAGGCCTGCCATTTTGCAGATTTTTGCAGTTCTCCCAATAAACATACATGCAGAATAAACAATCCACTTTTTTTCCAATAACAGTCAAGACTTACATGATCTTTGAGTTAGGTTTCACCTTTAAATTTATCTGCAACCTTTTGGCATAGTGCAAGGTAAATCCTGTGATCTAAAAGAAAAGAAATACATGAATATTGTGGGTGGGGAATATTTAAATGTTAGCAACAATAAATAGAAAAAGAATGCACTCAGATGCTGAGTTTGGAAAGGTTTTACCAACATTGGACAAGGCTGTTATTCAATAGCCAGGAAGCCATAGCTGTTTTGACCTCGGCTTCCCCCAAAAGCACTAAGCAGACTCTTTGTTCCAGCAAAACTCCTTTTATTAAATGAAGGTGAATTTCTTGCATTCACTTTCAGCCAAAGACCTGGCAAACAGTCTTTCAAGGGTGTCATTAGGAGCACAGACCTTATCTAGCTTGGAGAGCTACCAAGTAAATATTTCCAAATGCAGCACTGACAAGGAAGGACTCGGCACAGAGTCTCTGTGATGCACAGACAGATCTTCACACAGCTGCAATGAACGAATTGTATCCTGCAAAAGCCCCCTCCCCTTTTGCTCCTCTTTTAATCCCTATGGAAGGGGCCATTCACCATCCATCTGTGGCCTTACTCCCACCCTGAGTTCGTAATTGTTCTCTTCTTTTGGCAGCTCTGCACATGTGCAGGCTAGGAACTGGCTTCAGTTGCTCCCTTGCCTCACTGCTGTCCGAGCCTGAAGGCAGCTGATGACTGCCAGCCTGTCCTGGCCCCATCTCTGCCTCTAATGCAGAGCCCTTGTCCAAGCCTTCCTCAGCATCCAGGACTGACCCAGGTCCATCCCCAACCTCCTCACTGTCCAAGTCTGCTGCCAGCTCCGCTAGCCAGCGTGGGGCCACAACAATAGCTACCGTACTTGTTTCAATGATTTCATTGCAATTCATTTAAACTGGATATTAATCAATTTTGAAATTGATGTTTGCTTTTAAGGTTGCTGCTACACTATTTTTAATGTGTTTAAAATAAGCACACTTAGCAAAATAACAACCCTGAACCCTTCTTGAAGTAGAGGCTGATGGGACCCAGAAAATCTTCATCCCATCTGTGGACCAAATGAACTAGGAGAAAACTTTCCTCTTCGGTGAACAAACTCCAAAATTAACTTCAAGGGTCAAATTCTATGGCAGAGAAGGCCTGGATACGAATTTAATTTGGAGTCACTTACTGGTTCTACATCCAGAAAGATTCTGTGTTCTTCCTCAACTGGCTTCAATCCCTCAACATGGTGAAAAAGTTCTTCACTCACATGCAGGAAATGGGGCAACGTGATATAGACTGGTTTACCTATAGAAATAAAAGGGAAAATAAAGACAGTTGACAAGTTGGATCATGAAGTTCCATTCTAGTAACAAAGATCATGGAGATGATCTCTGGAACAGCAGCAAACCATTGTTGAACTTATTCACCAAGTACAAACGTAGTAAGCTTGGCACATTGGACACCATCCAAATCAAAACTTTAAACTGCATTACTCACATGCAGGGAATGATTGCAATGGACTTTCCTACATAACCATGGCTATGTCAGAATAACTGAAAGGGAAGGGGAAAGGAATAAAAGTTGTGTGCTGGCCATGGGTTAACGAGGGCCAGGTAACACAAATAGGAGTGATAACCATCTGGATTTTTGGACCACCATGGAGCAAAAGATAACCTAGCCTATCAGAGATAAAACAGTTCCTAATGGATACATTTTTCTCCATTGTATCAGCTCTAATGGTCCATATGTGGCCATGTTGGGTGTGGATATAAACAGAAGATTTCAGAAGACAGCTGACTGAGTATACAATCCAAAAAGCCCAAAGTTTTGATTTTATGCAGCCAACAGTCATGAACAGTACAGCCAAGATAGGACCCAGTGTTGCAGTCTGTCAAGATCCATCTGGATCTTGAGCCTATCTTCTAGGATGTTAGCTATTTTTGACAGCTTAGTGTCATGCCCCTGTTGGAGTCTGACTCTGAGGAAGAGATGGAACAGCTGACAGGGAGTGGGAGTGTGGCTCAGGTGGTTGTGGAGGAAACTGGGGAAGGGTACAGGCCAGATGGGCATTCAGAGGAAGACCCAGGTCCGTCCCCTCTTCCTTCTAGGACATGCAGGGAGGAATGGATAAGGGAGAAACATGAGTGGCATGGTCTATGGGAGAGGAAGGGGTCCTGATCCCCTTTATGGGCTGCAGCTGGGAGGACTGGATAAAAAGACAAACTCCCGATGGCAAAGGTGCTAGAAGCAAAGTGTGCATTCTTGTCGGAGCTTATCTGTGTTTTGGCTTCCTCCCAACTGTGGCTGCTGCATTATCTGGTAGACTGCTGTAGTAATTCCGTCAGTGTGATGTGTTGAGTTTTTTATTTCAAATTAACTTTACTTTGGGTGCGGACTGCATTTACTCCCTCCGTAAACTGTTTTCTTTAAGAGTTTGATATCCTGCCGAGGTTAATTAGACATTGGGGCCATGTTGGAGGCATTAAAGGGAATTTTTTCTATTTTCGTGAGTTGGTTATTTTTGTGTCATGCCTTGGGTCATCACACTTAGTATCATCTGCAAATTTGGTAAGTTCCCCTTCTATTTACTAATCTAAGTCATTTATGAAGATATTGAAGAGTACTGGGCCTAAGACAGAACCTAGTGGCACCTCACTGCTTACTTCCCTCCATGTAGGCATAGACGGCATAGACCCATTAAGGACTACTTGTTGAGTACGGTTTGTCAGCCGGTTATGAATCCATCTAGTGCTGGTGCTATTTATTCCACTTTTTTCTAGCTTACCAAGAAGTAGGTTGTGGTGGTTTACTTTGTGGAATGCCTTACTGAAGTCAAAGTATAAGATTCCAGCTTCTGATACAATTTCAATTTGAATTAACCCTATCCAAGCCCTCCTCTTTCTCCCCTGTTACCTTCTTTGCAGGAGCTGAGATCCAGAATTCCAGTTAATGTGCAGTTCCGACTCAATTCCATGTCAATGCAGAAGCACATATTGTCAGGATTGGTAGTGGGTGGTTCAAAAGTCGACAGAGGGACAGAAAAGCGATAAACTAGAATTTCTTTCGCTGTCTTCTCACTCTCAAATGTTACAAAAATTGACCTGTATTGTAAAAATAATATGAATCATGATCATACGCCATGATGAAAAAAGAACCACCAATCTTGTCTATGAAAATTCTCAGCCATCCAGGTCATGATTGTCCCAAAGGTGTTTTGTTCAAAAAGTCAACCGGACTTTGTTTCTCCTTGAAATGTTTTGCTTCTCATCCTAGAAGCTTCTTCAGTTCTGTACAACTCTAGAACTGAAGTCTTTTTGGATGAAAGGCGAAAGATCTTCAAAGAAAAACAAAGTCCAGTTCCCTTTGGAAAAAGCTCCTTCGGGACTTCCACCAATCTTATAGTCATCAATCACATTCCTTCAAGAATTTGTTGATCATCTACATATCTTGGATCTCATTCCCTGATCAAAATGAGGGCTTTTCAATCAGATTACTCTCCACCATGACCCTTGGGCGAGGCAGGAGTGATTGGCACCTCACCAAGGCAGAAAAAAAAATTGGCATCCTTGTTTTGTCCCAAAGGGGCTTTTTCAAGAGGCAAATGGATTTTCTGGTTTTTCTTTGAATAGCTGAAGAAGCTTCTTGGATGAGAAGTGAAACGTCTTCAAAGCAAAATCTTGAAAATAAGCTTTGGGACAACCATAACCTGAATGACTGAGAATCTCCATAGACATCATTATTTTGGGAGGCAGAAGTTCTAAAAAGCCATATTAAAAACAAAGCAATTAAATCTGTCTTCTTAGATGACCTTGAAGTCTAGAGATTTCCAAAGAACCACAATCGGTTTCCAAAATAAGAGAGATAGCAATGAAGTGGTAAATGCCCCTGACTGTTAACTGTTTGAAGCAGTGGTGGGATTCAAAAGTTTTTATTACCGGTTCTGTGGGTGTGGCTTGGTTGGTGTGGGAAGGGAAGGATACTGCAAAATGTCCATTCCCTTCCCATCCCACTAACCTGCTTTCCAGCTCCGTTCTCCTGTGCAGGGCAACCAAAGAAGACCCAGCTGATCAGCTGGGACTCAATGGGAGGCAGAGAATAGGTGGGGTTGGTGGGGCCAGTCAGAGGTGGGATTTGCCAGTTCTCCAAACAACTCAAATTCTCCAGAACTGGTCAGAACCTGCTGAAGACCACCTCTGGTTTGAAGGTAAACTGGATTTTGAGTTATAATTTTAATAGGTAAGCTGCCCCTCCCTGTAGTTAAACTAGGCAGTCCAGCTCAACTAACTCAGAAATCCTGTGTCAAGATTGAACCATTTTGGTCCTTTCAAAAGTTAATGCATCTCAACTTGCCAGTGAAGAGGGGGGAGGGAAGGGGAAAATGGAATGCCGAGAACATATGTGGAGATCATGACAGCCTGTAAAGTAAACCATCAAGGTCACCACTGCAGGTACTGGAGAAAGAGACGGAGTGTTCCCATCACAAACTGGTGTCTCATAATTGGACAATGGGATCCCCCAGGGATGCGGAGTTGGGGAAGCTATTGTTTAACTGGGCAAGCAATGGTGTGGGAGAACCAGAGTTGGTTTTGTTTCTTCAGTACCCAATAAGGTGTATCCAATAAAGTTTTACTTTTGGGGAGTCAAAGCTCCCGATAAGTTTTCTTGGATTTGGGTTCACTTACAAGTAGTTGCACGGTTGACATTCTGAAGTTGAATGTTGCTGACATTTCAAAATTCTATTACAGGTGATCCTCGATTTATAACCAGGGGTACGATTCAGCCGGTACAGACAAGTTCGGAAGAACCAGTAGTTCTGAAAATCAGTTGGCCCTGCCCATTTGCCCCTGCACTTGCCTGTCTTATATTTCCTTTGTTTGAAGCCCAGCTGATCGGCATGGCAGTGCAGATTGCCACATCCCAGTTGTTCTTAAACACTTACAGTGCAGTAGAAGGTAAGTTTTCAAACTATTTTCAAATGCACCACGTGCACGCAGTGCTCACCGAACTGGTTGTTACACTGGTTGAAGCCCACCACTGTTTAGAACCATTCGTTAGCAACCGTTTCAAGTTACAATAATACTAAAAAAAAGTGACTTATGACTGGCCTTCACACTTTATGACCATTGCAGCATTCTCCATAGTCACGTGATCAAAAACTTTGGGCGTGTATTTATGAGGGTTGCAGCATCCTGGAAATTGGGTAATTGCCAGGGGTGGGATTCAAATTTTTTAACAACTGGTTCTGTGGGCGTGGCTTAGTTTGGTGGTCCTGGCTTGGCAGTCATGTGACCAGCTGAGTGTGGTCAACTCAACATCACTCACATCGAGGCACCATCTCCTTGCCTGGCCTGTCATGACTGTGGGGATGCTGCAAAAGTCGTAAGTGTGAAAAACGGTCATAGTCATAAGTCATAAGTCACTTTTTTCAGTGCCATTGTAACTTTGAATGGTCACTCCAATTCAAGCAGAAGTACCAGCAAAGGAGGGGAAAAAAACTCCAGAGACATTCCTGAGACAAGAAGTCCAGTCCTACCAAAAAGGTAATAAGGGTCAACGAAGAGGCAGTTTCTGTAAGCAACACCAGAATGTTTCCTTCCTGCCTTCCTTACAGGATTAGGCCAGTAATTTCTTCTAACAACCAGTTCTACGAACTGCTTAGAATGTTAACAACCGGTTCTAGCGAATAGGTGCGAATCTGTAGAATCCCACCCCTGGTAATTGCTATTTGCACCCTTACAAGCAGGCTCCAACAAATAAAGTCAATGGGGAAGCCAGATTTTCTCTTTTTGATCACATGACTCACTCAACAAATGCAATGTTTGGCTCAACAACCATGGCAAAATATAAACGGTTGTAAAATCGGGGCCAATTCATGTAACCACCACCTTAGCCTGAGGCAGTGATGGCGAAGCTTTTTGTTGTGGTGTGAAAGCTTGCATGTGTGCGCCCCCCCCCTGTGCAGGCATGTGCAACTCCCGCACCCCATCCCTTTACCTGCCCGGTCATGCATGTCTCCCAACTGATTTATGGCCCATTTGAGGCCATTTTCACCCTCCAGGAGGCTCTGGAACCTCAGGAGGCTGAAAACAGGCCCATTTCAGCACTTCTGGTATTTCCGGAAGGCCTGTTTTTCGGCCTCCCAAGGCTGCAGAGGCTTCCCTCGAGCCTCCGGGAGAGTGAAAATGACTTCAAATGGGCCAAAAATCAGTTGGAAGGTGCACACATGCACAGCGCAGGTCAGTTTGGCTGGGGCTTGCATGCCCGCACAAATAGTTCTGTGTGCCATCCGTGGCACGCTTGCCATAGGTTCGCCATCATGGGCCTGAGGGATTCTAGCCCCAGCTATGGCCATAGGGAAAAAACTACATGTATTTTGGAATGAAAGGAATGATGTTCTCCTTTTTCAAGACCATTTACCTGCAAATATCTGAGGAAAAGAAATACAGCTCTTCACTCTTGTTGATAAAAGGGTGGAATGATGCTCCATCTGTGTGAGTTACAATCAAAACATCTCATGAATTGTGAGCCTCACAACACATACAAGAATCCTGCATCTGAATTCTTTGCATCTTTGCAACTGCGGTTGGGTTGGCTTGATTCCTTGTACATCCTACTCAACTGTTGTTTGGATTATGAGAGGCCAAGGCAGGACATTCAGAATTAAAGAAATGAAGAATATTTTTTCCTTCTTTACCACATACAGGTCAACACTTTCCTGGACTTTACACACCTAGGACCTGAAGGCAAATTTGGACTTATAAAGAACTTCAAGCTGGAAGCCTACTTATCAAGCATTAAGCCATGGCAGCCCAGCCAGGATTATAAAGTTTCTTCTAACATTAGCAATTAACATTGATGGAGCAAGATCAAAATAGTGCCTTTTTTAAAAAATGTGGGGCGGTAGAAAGCACAATAATTGTCAAAACAACACACTAACACACTCTTTATGTGCATGATTGCATTCCCACTCATGCTAGTAATACTATTATTAAATTTTCAGATGCTGCAACAGTGGTGGGATTCATCTCTTGGGGGGGGCGGTGAGTCTGCCTTCTAAGATGAGGTGGACCAGTTGTTTTCATGGTGTAAAGACAATATCTTGGTCCTCAACACCAATAAGACCAAGTATAATCCAAGTATAATGGATTATAGAAAGAACAAATCAGACCTCCAGCCCTTGCTTATCAATGGAGACCGTGTGGAGCAAGTGGCCAGGTTTAAGTTTCTGGGTGTTACCCTAAAAGAGGACCTGACCTGGGTGCATACATTGCAGCCCTGGTCAAAGAGGGCCCAGCAGAGATTATATTACCTGAGGCTTCTCAGGAAACAACAACAGAATGGAAAACTGCTGGTGACCTTCTACCACTGCAGCATTTTAACATACTGCACCTCTGTATGGTTTGCCAGTTGCACAGTGGCAGACAGGAAAGCACTTCTGAGGGTTAACGTCATTGCCCAGAGGATCATGGGTTGCCCTCTCCCCTCTTTGGAAGAGCTTTAAAGCTCCTGCTGCCTTAAGAAAGTTCAAAACATTCTCAAAGATCCATCTCATCCTGGGAACCTTTTTTTGAACTATTACCATCTGGCAGATGGTAGAGGATAATGATAAAAACAAGGACAAATAGGCTGAAAAACAGCTTCTATCTCAGGGCAGTAGCTCTGTTGAATTATACTGTATAGTGCAGTGTTGGTGTGGTGTCGGGGGGTTTCAATTCAATGTGTGGAGTGTGAAGGATGTGTGTTTGTGTTTATTTTCATGGTCATGATGTGCACTGAAGATGGTGTTTGATTTCATTGAATGAGGTGCAATGACAATAAAGTAAACTAACTAAAAACTAGCTAAATTAACAGGGAACAAGCTTAACATTCTTCAGATAGATGCTCTGTCTTTAAATTTTGGCATTGTAATCATTGTTCTTGGTCCCCATTTAGAAAACCTTGTTAGGTGTACTTAGTGCATCTGCTGGAAGCCACAATGAGAGCAAATGAAGACATTTGAATGGTGAAGACACACAAATCCCATCAGACTCCAACGGCTTACACAAAACATAGCCTTTGTCCCCTTTCTAAATCTTGAAGTTTCTTAATAATTTAGCCAGCTAAGTATTACTTATGTGAAGACTCGTAGCTAACTTTCTTCTCATCCTATTCTAGCTAACTTTCTTCTCATCCTATTCTTTTCTTTGGGATCTTATCTTACCAAGTAGGCTTCAGTTCCAACCTTGAATATTTTAATACATGTCAAAATGTGTGCTGTGTGTTCAACCCAGACATCAATGTTCAATATTGTTCCATTGACACACTTACCGGTGCCATTCACCATACCACAATAACTTTCCCAGTAGTCAACGGTCCTTTAAAAAAAGAAGAGAAATAGAATATACAGCTCAGAGGATGCTACACAGTTTTCTTAACTAAACATTAGTCTTCTGAATCTAAGGAAAGTGCAGGAATTCAAGGGCAGGGCACACAATCTGTTCTCAATGTCTTTTATAATCATATTCTGTACAAGAAGGAGTTGGAAAAAAGTAAGCATTTAGGTTAGGATAGGAGGGATGTATAAGGAATGTGTAAAGGAATAAACAGCCTCCTGAAAAAGACAATACCAGGATAGTATTTGTATAGCATACATAAATCTGATTAACTAAACTCACACAACTCTCTTAAGTGGATTGGAGGCTAAAATATATACAGAATGGTTGCAGGAATTGGATTCGTCTAGTTTAATGAAAGTGACATGACTAGAAGTGACATGACATCCAATATTTGAGGGGTTCAACCTATTCTCCAAAATACCACAAGGACAGGACAAGAAGCAACAGATGGAAACCAATCAAGGAGAGAAGCAACCTGAATTAAGGAGAAATTTCACAAAACAGAACATCTTGCTACACTGAACTGTTAGAAAGTTTGAAAAAAAGTAAATAAATATGGTTGTATTTCCCCGAATGTGGTATATACCTGTTGTTTTTATAACTCTGTATAATTCCCACTTTGTTTATATCATCTTTCCCGCTGTAAATTTGGTAAGGGCCATCAAATGTTTTGTTGAGCTTGAAAGAGAGAAAGAGAGAGAACAGGAAATTATTTATTTCACCTTGTTCGTCAAGATGAACCTTTTAGTGTTTAAAAATCTGCTGTCCAACATCTAAATGAAGTCTAACGGTCTTAATTTTCTGTTTTTTTCTGTTTTTCTGTATCTAAAATAAAAATCTGTTGACTTTTGACAAGATGATAAGATAGAAATTATTGTTCTAATTTTGCTTTTCTTAAGAGTCATTAATTTTCCCTTTGAGTTTGCACTTACAGGATAGAATACCCCAACGATCTTATCAATGTTTGGAAATGGAATTAATTTCAGGAAAGGATCTTCATAGCCCCAAAGTATTTCTTTCACTGTTCTAGTTTGAAGAAGTTTTGATTTTGATAGTTGTATTAATATATTCAGGGCTGGAGCCGCATTCGGATACAAAACAGGTGCAGTCTACGGGAAATGCAAATATGTTAACAAACTTTTGAAACTGGGATGAAAATGGATGACAACGTTTCAAAGCAGTCTTGCATTCATTCTTATAAGTGATCAAATCACAGGACATTTTCTAGTTTCAATCTACCTATATATCTATCTCTCTCTATATATATGTATATATATCTTTATCTATCTATCTATCTATCTATCTATCTATCTATCTATCTATCTATCTATCTATCTATCTATCTATCTATCTTCTATCTATCTCTATCTATCCCAAATCAATAGATTAGACATAGACATAGACATAGACATAAAAGCAAAATATCATGCATCATCACAGAACCATAAAGCCTACAAACTTGAAAGTTGGCATGTATCTTCCTCTTGGCTTCTAGGTGCTCACTAAGAAAGGATTTTTTGAAATGACCATCAAAGCATTAGTTTTTTCAGGTGGGGGAGCGAGAATAGAACTCCTTAGCATCAGTGTGTGTTAATATTATTAACACTCTAATGCTAAGGAGTTCTACTCCCACTCCCTAACTGAAAAGAAATCTGTTCCAACTGCAGTTGAGCTAAGCCACACCCAGGCTCCTTGCTGTCTCCTTGCTCACACAGCAAATACTCTTTCCATTTCCAAACAGCCCTCAACTCTCTCTCACACTGATAGGACACTAGCCAGATGAATATTGATGGATGCTGGTAAGCAGAGGCAGATTTTTCCCCCTTATTTTACTCCCCAAAAACTTGCTTGATCACATAGCTTTGTAGCGAAGCACAGGTACCCTGCTAGTGCTTAATATTTGCTAAGTAATTTGATTTATGTCAAATTCAATAGACAAGCATCACAGTTCAGCAATCAGTATTTTTGTGTATCTTCACCATAATTCCTGACTGATTACTTGCATAGGACATGGAAGATAAAATTAGTTTTAAAAGCTTCTGGGAATAAAATAATAATTTTTGGTTAAAATGCGGCAAGAGAACGCCAATAATAACAAAAGCCAAGTTAGGTATAATACCAGAAAGTTATGATAAAGAGACTCTATACTTAATGCTACATGTATTGACAGCAGGGAGAATTGTATTTGCACAATATTGGAAAAATGAGAACACCCCACCAAATGAAAACATAATTCGGAAAATATTGGACTGGGCAGACATGGATAGATTGACATTGAAAATAAAAGATAAAGGAGGTACAGAGTATTATTATGGGATAGGTTTCATCAGTGGTTAGAGATAAGAGGCAGAAGTTAGATGAAGAAAGATTATCGTTATATGTAAGTAAAATATGAATGTTGCCTACAATTATACACATGGTAGTACAATTAATGTGATCATAAGCAAGCTAATATAATTATAAATATGGTTGTAATTATTACATGTATTATCATTATTACTATCAATATATCTCTTACGGTTTTTTCCTCTCTTCTGTAAATGCCCAGACAATGCACTGTCTTGACAATGTTTATATATAAACTTGTCGATAACCCAGCATTGCCTGGGTATTTATTTATCCCAATCCTGTATTAGACAGGAAAATCGGGACTCACGCTGTTGTACTGTCTCTCATGCACCTCAATTCTTCTATTCCTCCACAAGAAGAGCCCCCTTGTGGAGTACTGTGAAGCCATTTCCATGGCAAGTCCATAGTGCTGTACAGTAGAAGCCATTTTAAGGCACCCACCCACACTGAGGGGTGTTAAGGGTGTCTTACCTCCACAGTATTTGTTTCCAGAGGGTAAGTCATCTGTGTACCAAGTTTGGTTGAAATTGCTCAAGGCATTCCAGGAGTTATGCTGGAACATACACACACACACACACACACACACACACACACACACACACCTGCTTTTATAGAAGAAGAAGAAGAAGAAGAAGAAGAAGAAGAAGAAGAAGAAGAAGGAAGGAAGGAAGAAGACAGAAGAAGATAAGAAACTTGACTTTTTAAAAAATAATGAAAACCTAATATCACTTTGACTGCTAGATAATATTTCCACCATTTTGATGAAAAGTTAAGATGAAGAAATAATACCATAACAATTAGACAGATATAGATTTCCAAATTTTGCTGATCTACCTATCCTAGTCCTTTATTACCAACTTAATTACCAACAGGTAGTAAAATTTCTGGATCGCCCAATTCATTCATCCCCAACACCAAAAAAACCCACAAAAGAATAAGAGAGAAGATCATGTCAGAATATGGAGAGCACCCACATTTGTACTACAATACTGTAGTACTGAGTACTACAATACTGAGATGAATCTTAGGAGAGAGCTCGCTTACCACAACAGCCAGGTTGACAGTGGTGATGTTGTCACTTTCCAACCCGCTGGACATATTAGGTTGAAAAAGAAAGATATTTTCCAGGAAGTAAGACAGGGTGGCATCATCATGTTTCATAACGTTTACTTTGTGCGTATATCGCGTCCTTGAGGAAAAAGAAGTTCCCCTTCAGTTGTGAGATGCTGACCAAATCAGAAATAAGAAGTGCTCTCTTTGCTGGGAGCCAAGTGGATATTTCCCCATCTATTTACTTCCTTTCCTTTCCTTTCCTTTCCTTTCCTTTCCTTTCCTTTCCTTTCCTTTCCTTTCCTTTCCTTTCCTTTCCTTTCCTTTCCTTTCCTTTCCTTCCCCTTCCCATCTATTTACTTTTTCCCTTCCCTTTCCCCTCTACTTTCTTCCTTCCTTCCCTTCCCTATCTATTTACTTCCTTTCTCTTCCTGTAGTGAGAAATGTATTAAGTCAGCTTTGCCCCATTTTACAACTGCTGTTGTTCAGTGAGTTACACAGTAGTTAAATGAACCTGTTTTCCCCATTGGGGTAGGGGGTTGGATTTGATGACCTACAAGGTCCTTTCCAACTCTGTTAATCTGAAAGGCAGATTTTGCCTGAGCTTTTAGAAAATCTTCATCAGTAGTTCAAGCAATTCCTGAAAGAAGAGGTTAACTTTTTCCATAAATGCGTTCAAAGAATTATGGATGTTCTACCTTGGTTCCTTGCATGCAAAGAAGAGGAGGTTGAACTCAATCTCCTGTTCCATCTCTGCTCTCTAATCCTATGTCTTCCAAACATCCTCATGCCTGTACGTACCTGTAAGTGTAAGGACCTTTCTCCTTAAGGATTGGAGCAGACCCATTCTTCATCACCTCCTCTGGATTCTGTACATCAAAGAACCAAATCTGTCTGTAGATGGGACTCTCTGGAACAATCCAATTCTTAAAGGCAGTTGTACCATGTTCAATGACAACTTCCTTCAAGGAATAAGAGCAAGATACAGAAAGATGTCTCACTTAGACTTATATACCATTTCACAGTGCTTTACAGACCTGCCTAAGCAGTTTACAAAGTCAACATATTGTCCCAACAATCTGGGCACTCATTTTTACCGACCTCGGAAGGATGGAAGGCTGAGTCAACCATGAGCCAGTCAGGATCAAAGTCAGCCTGCAATACTGCATTCTAACCCTGTTGCTATGAATCATTAATCTTCCAAATCAGTCATAACTGCTAACTTTTTTCTAATAGTTTGATGCAGTTCACCTGGCCCACAGACTTTGCAACTTTAGCATAAAAATAAAAACCTGCTGATGGTTATCGAGAAAAGCTATCTCTGCACTTGCTAAAACTCAACCATGACTTGATGGCACAGAATTAATAATTGATCAATGACAAATGCCATTGTTCTGTCTTTTACTTACAACATCATAGCCTGAGATATTATTATCTCTCTCTAATCACTTTTTGCAAAGGTAAATATTCTTTAATCAGAGATAATGCCCTTCCATATGTTGTTTTATGAGAGGTTTATGAGAGTTCAGTCTTTATAAGGTAGATAATCAGATGTGATTATCTGCAAGGCTATAATAATCCAAAGAAAATCATGTTAGTTGATGATTTATGAGCTGCTTGGTTTGTCTTGGGCTGATTGGCCAAATAGTCAGCAAGAAGTTTTAAAAGGTCTCATTACCCAAAAGTGAAGGTGACTTTAATAATTATTCAGAAATCAGCAAGCTAAGAATCTTTCCATGTTTTTTTTTTTCATAACAAACAAGAACCAGACATATGGAATAATTGGTTAGAATCCAACTCTACACCAAGCTATAAATCAAAAAGCACAATTTATGAAATACTGGCGCAGCTAGTCCTCAACTTATGATCACAATTGAGCCCAAAATTTCTGTTGTTAAGTGAGACATTTGCTCAGTGGATTTTGCCTCATTTTATGATCTAACTTACCACAAAAGTGAATCACTCTGACCTTGAGGATGTCATAACGGTTGTAAAGTGTGAAAAACAGGCCGTAAATCAGTTTTTTTCCAGTGCTGCTGTAACTTTGAACAGATATTACCTGAGCTGTTGTAAATTGAGGAATACTGGCATAGCATTTTCTCATGGATGTAGATATTTGATTTATAAACCCCAGTTCCAAGAATGCTAACTCCAGTTGGAGTAACGAGAAGATCCAACATTTTTCACGGGTGTGCAGAAGTAAAGGGTGAGAAACAATAGCACAGCGCAACAGAGCTTCGGAGATTAAAGGGGTTCTTCAAAGGTGCAGTTAAGTCATCATGGTGATTAGAAATACAATATCTGGAAGTTTTGAAGAGAAGATTGGATATCCATTTGTCAGAAACGGTATAGGGCAGAGGCGGCAAACCTTTTTTGGCTCCTGTGCTGATAATTGCGTGCATGCTTGTGTGTGCGCCCTCATGTGCCAGCACCCAGAAGGCAATGTGTGCTGGGCCTCCACCCACTCACTGCACCTGCATGCATGATTCCCCTTGCCATGCACCATGCACCTGTGAGTGCAATCATCCCGCCATGCGCAGGGGTGGGATTCAAATTTTTAACAACCAGTTCTGAGGGCATGGCTTAGGCAGTGGGCATGGCTTGGTGGTCATGTGACTGGGTGGGCGTGGCTTGGTGGTCATGTTATTGGCTTGGTGTGTGGCCAACTCAACATCAATCACATCGAGGCACATCTCCTCGTCTGGCCTCTCATGACTGTGGAGATGCTGCAACAGTCGTAAGTGTGAAAAGGGGTCATAAGTCACTTTTTTCAGTGCCATTGTAACTTTGAATGGTCACTCCACACAAGCAAAGTACCAGCAAAGGAGTGGGAAAAAAACTCCAGAGAGGTTCCTGAGACAGGAAGGCTAGGTTATCTTTTGCTCCATGGTGGTCCAAAAATCCAGATGGTTACCACTCCTATTTGTGTTACCTGGCCCTCGTTAACCCATGGCCAGCATCCAGAGATAAGAACTAATTTACAAGATTCTCCAAACACGAACTAAGATGTCCACCAGTTGAGCTTCAGAGCTTCTTTGCTGTCTGCAAAGAACGCTTTTCCAAACCTGGCTTTTATCCTCTTGAGGGAGGGGCCATTACCTTGCAGCCTTACTTCTGAGTTGCCTGTGCTGCTGTAATTGTTCTTTCCTCCGAGCAATTCTATGTGCACATGCACTTGGCACAGGCTCCTCGGGAACCTTCTCATTGCTGCTGCCAGCCCCACAATCTCTGAAGGTAGCAGTGATGGTCCTGGCCCCTCATCAAAGACATCACTCTCCTCAACCATCTGCACCTGCTAACCACAACAGCATGTGTCTCCCACGCACCCCCTGCCTCCCCTGCATATACACACCAAATACCCAACGATCAGCTATTGGGTGGCGGCAGTGGGGCTCTTCCACTGAGCTCTCGCATGCCAGGGAAAATGGCTCTGCATGCCACTTCTGCCACACATGGCATAGGTTCCCCATCATGGGTATAGGGTTTCCTGCCTAAGCAGAGGGTTGGACTAGAAGACCTCCAAGGTTCCTTCCAAATCTGTTTTTCTATTCTATCTGTACACACTCCAGATGTTTCTACTGACCAAAAAGTGCCTTTATTGTTTTTGCTGAGAAATGTAGATGTTATTGATCAAAACAGTGTCTGTAACTTGGCCAGAAAATTGATTTGTAGATTTAATGTCGTCAAGGCTCTCATGTCAGGCAACATTTAAGTGCTGATAAAAATTAATGAAATATCACCATGAACTTTGTAAATTTCAAGAAGTTTCATCTGCAGATAGCCAATGCTGGGTGAGCATGTTCCTCAGATATATGAACCTCAGAACAGAACTATCAGAGCTGAAGAAGCTTCTTGGGTGAGAAACGAAACTTCTTCAAAAGAAAAAATGAGAAAGTGCAGTTGCCTCCTGAAAAATGT